CCCCAAAACCCCAAAACCCCAAAACCCCAATCCCTTATTAAAATTTACACCTAAAAATCCTCTCAAAACCAATGGGTGCCGGCAAAAGTTGCAAAAGGGCCAAGCCTAAAACCCCTACCAAAACCCCTATACTCCCAATCCCTCCCCTGGGGACCCACAAGGCGTAATCCCCAACCCTCTAAAGCCATAGGCTTGTAGATCAAAAGGAGTTTTGGCAAAAACAGTTGAAAGAAGTAATCGCCCAGTTCCAACAAATGATCAATTATGACTCGTATTATAGAGGATTACTGCAGGAACCGGATCTGTAGGTGGCTTCATAGGTGAGATTTAGGACCTCAGTTAATGTTTCAGCACTGATTACTGAGAAAGTAGTCGGAGAGCACCCGAATTGACTATGGGATTACCTTTCTTTACTGGGTAAGATTAATAGGGGTATGCTATAGAGAGGGAGTATACCTCTCCCAGTGGAGAGAAGTTATTCCCAAAGCCTTTTTTGTTAGATTCAAGACTCAATGCGAGAAGAGACCCGTTGTTATTGGCAGTAAAGATGAGACAGCCTTATATAATCATTGATTTGATTAAGAGACATAAAAATGTTATGATTGAATATTGTAATCTGAGATTTCAAGATATAGGAAATAGAAAAGTAATAAAAATTCAATCAGGAGGCAAGGTAGAAGCCTTTAGAGGTATTCTAAGGTTTTAGAATCAAATTTTAGACCCTGGGTGGTGGAGTTTATTACATGAATTTGCATTGATAAAGCAAAAATTTTGAGAAGAAGAGAGGGCAGTTTGAAGATGGATTGTTTACAAGTATTTTCTTTAAAAATCATAATATAGAACGAAGGAAATACAAAAGAGCAAGGAAGGGAGCACCTTCCTGGATATCGCTAGGACTCATAAATCCCCTAACGATGCTTTCCTCAGTAATCTTCAGACAGGGAAATCAAATAATCTGTACATCACCAAATTTTTACTTAGGAAGACAAGGCTTCGGAAAGAGTTGATCTTAAGAGTGCTCAAGCATTTACATTAATCATTTTCAGTCATAATAGGACTTTTTGGGGTTTTGGGGTTTTGGGGTTTTGGGGTTTTGGGG